TAATGAAGTCTAAGCTCCTCATTGCACCCTGTAGAATTTAAAATGTTTTAGAAAAGAGTTAAAAAAAAAAAGGTTCCGGTCTAGGAGTCTACATGCAATTGGGCGGTAGTACAGGGGTTCTATATCTGCAATTAACCCTTAGAAACTATTGAAAAGAAATTCCCGACAGATCTCATGAATATTCCTACCTTCATTTGTTTGGAATTAGTACTGACAATAAAATCATCGGCACCAAGACGCTCCCTTGCCTCCCTCTCTTTCGAAGGTGACGTGCTAATCACGGTGACATGCAATCCAAAGGCTTTACCGAACTTAACAGCTATATGACCGAGCCCTCCAAGGCCGACCACCCCAAGCCTCTTTCCTGCTGTTTGCAGCATGTTGTGTTGCTTCATCGGAGAGAACACTGTAATCCCAGCGCACAACAGCGGAGCCGCGCTGTCTAATGGCAAGCTATCAGGTATATGGATGACATACCTACAATTTCAATAGGAATCCCTCAAGACGTTTTTCACATAGCTATCAAAAGCTATACTTCTTACTAAAACATCGAAAAGTTTAAAATACGTAGCAAAATATCATATACTATCAGAAAATTTCCTTGAGGGTGTCGATCATGCTGTCAGTGAATCTAAAATATACTTAATTTTTACTACATGAGAGAGGACACGATAGTGCTTAAATAAAATAAATAAGTCTCAAAATACCTCATGTACATATCACTTTTCAACGTACATCAGTGTCCCCCAATCATAATAATTGTCAAAGTTCGTAACCATTATGCAAAAACTCCGAAGTTGTGATGAGGATTTGAGGAGTATAATTTACATTCTACCAGCAGGTTAAGCATCATTTTTATAGGTCAAAACCTAGACTCACGCAGTGGTGTAAATTTTTAGAAAATCCAATTTAAATTCATGGCTTGTAGGACTTACACTTGAGTTTCTTTGACACCATGTCAAAGACCCTAACCGTTACACTAGAACTTTGAAGTTGTGGTGAGAGTTGATGGTTATTCTTTATATTCTAACAATAATATTTTGGTATATTTTGTCGGGTTTTCTACAAAACATATCTAACAGTTCACTAGTTTACTGCAGTCTTGTAAAAATTACCTTAATTTAAAAATTGTGAAGTCTACCTTATTTCAAAACATAAATTTTTAAAATGATAACTTAGATGAGATTTTGTGCTGGGGTCACCTCTTATCGGCCACTAGCATCCTTGAGTAGCCACCATAAGTGATGCTTCCATCCCAAAATATGCTGTTGTAAGTGAATTGCAACTTATCGCAGTAGTTCTCCTGCGAGTCCTTGCAAAAATCACAGTCGAGACAGGATGCTGCGATGCATCCGACACCCACCCGGTCGCCTACCTTGAAGTTGGATACGTTTTCGCCCACTTTGGTGATTATGCCGGTGATCTCGTGCCTGAAATGTGTAACCAATTGAGAATTGTAGAATACATCTTACGACGAGGAAGTTAGAAAAAGAGACCTTTAGATAGTCCTCTGTAGAAACTAGTGTGGGAAAAATAAATAAAAGAATGACACAAGTTAAAATTTGAATTACATTTTGGTCAAATTCACTCAAGCAACCAAAAAAGTGTATTTGGCAATATGTTAAATATTGGGTTAGGATCCGTCCTGACTGGCTTCGTTATAAACTAGTTTTAGTTTAGACCATGGGGACTATCCAACTAAAACTAGTTTAAGGAGCTCTTTTGGCCTACAAAAACTTGGACAACATCGGCCTAAGTTTTTGCCAAACAAAAAGGCATTTAAAACATTTTTGCCAAACAAAAAGGCATCTAAAACTGGACCAAGTCCTGATCCAGTTTTAACGGATTGACAAAGAAGCCCAAATAGTTATGTACTAGAATATCACATGCTAAGCACGTGACTTCATAGAAAATCTAACGAAGTCCAGACGGCAGACGGGATATCAAATTGAACAGAGATTGAAACTTTGGTGTATCAAAGTGCAAGAAAAATATTTTGGGGTATCAAAATAAAAAAGAGTAAACTTTGGGTACCAAAGAGAAAACAAGCCAAACGTACATTTATCCATAAGATCCGCAAACAATCTACCACATTTCTAAATATTGCGAACTAATACGTCTCATGTGTTTGCTAGAACAAAATCACAAGCTGCACCAATTAACGATCTAAAAAATGAATTACTTACCCAGGCACAAGAGGGTACATGGTGATTCCCCAAGCATTTTTGATGTGGTGGAGATCAGTATGGCATATCCCACAATACATTATCTTTATGCTCACATCATCTACTCCATTCTCTCTATTCATTAACAACATCAAACAACAAAAGATGATTATATAATAGATCAAAATAACTATTGAATAAAATCAAAGGTTATCATCAAAATATCAAGATAAAATAGTTACCTTCTCTTGAAAACAAAGGGGGTGATTTTTCCTGATGAGTCCATGGCAGCCCAACCCGAGACTGTCTGCATATGATTTGGTGGATTTTTTGCCATTTTGTTTGCAGTTTTTTTTTTCCCCTCTTCAAAATTGCTCAACTCTGAGGCTAATCCAATCTCAACTTGATCCTATATATTGGGTAATAATTATGCTTGGTTTGCCGGCTTATCCTCATCTTAAATAATGGTGCTTGACCCACCTTGCTTCTGAGGTCCTTCCACGCGGTCAAACACAAATGTTATGGACCCACTTGCTATGGTAGGAGTATTTTTTTTTTTTTATTAATTTTATTAGTAGTAGATACACTAGCACCAATTTATACTGTTATTATTGTCGATAGTTACAGTCAGTTGATTCTTTATATATCTGAAGGATTGGGATCTTCTCTAATTAGATGGTAATCGAAAAATATCTAGTTATTTTATTCTGTATTCTCTATTCGATTTTTAATGGTTAGGATGGAGCCACGTAGAATTTTAATATTATCTTAACCATTATTGTCTTTGAAACTGCTATTTTGAAAAGTGGTATTGTGATAACTAAAATTCTAAGGGGGTGTTAGTCAATTGGGACATTTTCATGCAAAATGGGATAATTGTTAAAGTTGAATAATATTTCGCTAGTGGGATATTTTAGTGGGATAACTAGGAACAATTTTGTGAAGCGGGATATTTTGATAAAATAACGTGGGATAAATTTTTATAATCATGAAGTATATATTTATACATTTTGAAGATATAAATACTATTTATGTATTTTAAACTTACTACTATTAATTGATAATTGCTTACAAAAATGTTCGTTACTATTAAAATAACTTTTGGTTAGACTATAAGATATTGACAATTGTTATTATGATGATGGTTTAATGATGGTGATAACCATAATAGGAAATAAGTAAAGAAAAAAATAAAAAATAACAAAATAAATACGAGTTCTAGTTTTTTACCACATAGTTCCAAGCTAAAACTTGGAATAATTTGAGAGACTAGAACTCTCATTTTTGTATAGAAAAATAAAAAAAGTGGGATAATTTTGTACAATTATCCCAATTCTAGTTTTGTTAAAGTTCTGCTTGACTAACACTGTAAAATTTTATTCTAGTTTTAGTTCTATGTGACTAACACCTTAAAATTTTGTTCTAGGTTTAGTTCTATGTGACTAACACCTTAAAATTTTATCCCACAGATTATCCCAGTTCTAATTTTAAGTTCTAGGTGACTAACCCCCCCTAAGTGGTTTCATTTCAGTCCTTAAAATTGAAATGAAGAAGATAAGGGATATTTGTTTCTTTACATTTTACAACTTTGCATAGAAAACATAGGACATACAAGATCAAAATCTTGAATTTTAACTAAATACATTATTTGGTTAGCGTTTTTTTATCATAAAACAAGAGCTACCATGTAGGATTAACGCATCAATTCTAATTCTCTAAAACTATGTTGATTTCGCTTTGATTTTTATTGAGGCTTATCTAAAAAGGAAACCTGAGTGATAGTATACAATATTATCTTCAACAAATTCATGTTCAACCAAACAAGAATTTTTTTACTTAGATTTGTCATTCATCATATCCTCTTCAATATGCATGCAAAAAACAAGGTTATGAATATGATTTTTTTTAGATCAGTGACATGCATCGGAACTAATCCATGAACCAAACTGTTAGGGTCCAAGGAAACACCAAGTCGCCGAGAGAGAAGACCACACACAATCAAAATATCGGTACAAACACAAATAAATAAATTTTACGTGGTTCAGCAAGTTGCCTACGTCCATGGGGCAAGGAGGGGGGTTACTATTAGAGAGAAAGAGAATACAACTAGGGTTTACAATCTCACAAAATCTCATAAATAAACTCTCAAACAAAGCTCAAAAAATCTCTCATCAATTCTCCCTCAAATGATGCACAAAACCCTCTCAATGGCTGCTCAAATTTGTCTCATCAAACCCTAGAAACATGTGTTTTTATTTATAACAAACTCAATCCTAAACAATGTAGGAATCTGAAAACGAGTCTGCCACACTCGGGTGTAGCACGTACCACACCCCTGAAAATAGGACAGATTCTGACACACCTAGGTGTGGCAGACACCACACCCCTGCCGAATCTTCATGTTTGCCAACACTTTGAATAATTAGACACCGTTTTCTATAATTCTCCACCTTGGCGAAGTGTTCCCAAAACTGAACCGACACCAATACCAACCAAATGTCCTACTTGTTGCATCTAGTACGAAGTGGAATTAATCCACGATAACGGACTCAATCCACAATAAGCCGGGAACCCAAATGAGAATGCTAACAAATCTCCACCATGTCGGTATCAACTCATCAAACCAGCTGCATCAAAATGACTGCCTATGTATCCTCTTGTCCAATGAATCAAGTCTCACATAGTTCATCCAAATGGCCGCAAACAACCTCAATCAACTAGAAGAATTCTCGATCCTTCACCAACCTTTTGATCATTAACACTAACCAATCTGTTGCTGATTACGCCCATATTGGTCTCAAAGTTAAAAGACAAACTCTCTTCCAAACTTGCATCTCTCCCTACCAACTCTGTCTTGGAGCTTAACCCCTCAACTCTATATGTAGAAGAAATATAATTACCAATCATAGCCAAATCTGAGCTATGTTCACCCGCTGCACTCGAAATCTGATCCTGAACCTCTGGTCCCTGATCATCAAACTCATCATCTGTATCAACATCAACTATTTGATGCTCAAACTGTGTCACCTCAGCTAAAATCCCAAACAACATAGAATGATCTAGAGAATAAGGAGTAATCTCCATCAAACGTGAAGTGGCATCACTCTTCACTCATTGTGATACATCTATGATCTGTCCAAAACTCTCCACCTGTTGAGAGTCAATAGGCTCCATCATCGAATCCTCATCAAAAGTGACACTACCAGACTAACTATCCAATGGAGTTTTACCTCTAGTTATAGCAGATGGCAACATGTAAATAAGATGGCTAGAATATGTCAAAGCCTCAGCCCAGACCTCTTCTGCAAACTTCTGCTTGACAACAAACACCGTTGCTTCTCCAGCAAGGCACAGTTCTTCAAATTTGTCATCCTATCTATAGTTGCCCCAAGATTTTCCTTCCATCGAAGTGTCTCAAAATGCCCTGAGCACGACACAAATATAGAAACGGTTCCTTCTTGTACTTCCTACCAAAATCAGAATGGAGTACTTTGCCTTTTCTGTCTATCTTAGTCTCTATACACTTCTTCCACCAGTTGAAGACTACTAGGACGTTACTCAAATAGGACTTGGTTGCAACCTAAACATGCCTAAAATAGTCATCAACAAAGGAAACCAGATATTTATTACCTTCCAATGATGCCTCCTTGGAAGGCCCCTAAACACCCACATGAACTCCATCTAGAAGGCCCTTAGCTTGGTCAATAAATGTGCTAAACTTTACCTTGGTCTTCTTGCTCACATTAAAATATTCACTGGGCTTCAAACTGCAGGTCAATGCACCTTTCTCCAAATCAATAGTGGAATGGTCCAGCCTCAAATGCCTCAGTCTAGTCGAATCAATAGAAGTTGTCAGCTCTTCAACTGTCACCGTACTTCCAGTCAAGTAGTACAAGTTACTCCTCCTGATGCCCTTCATCACAATACAGGAGCCTCTCACAATCTTAAGAACCACGTCCTTAATACAAACTTTCAGACCCTCTCTAGCTAAAGCTCCAATCGTAGATCAGGTTCTTGTTGGCCTTCTTGTTTTGATGATGTTTAACAAACAATTTATTACTAATGTTGTTTGTCTAGTATTTGTGCATTCCTATGTTTTGTAGACAAACAACGTAGTTGGAGGATGGATGGAATAGAGCTTCAACGATGAAATCCAATGGAGGTTGGCGGAATGTCGGTGAAGCTTAAGCAATTCAAAGTTAAAGATCAAGTTCAAGCTTCATCCGCAACGTGTACCAAGTTGAGCTACAATGAAGATCAAGATTGCTTGGGTAATGTAGTTTAGGATTTATATTATGTGCGTTAAGTACTCTAAGCTCAATTATCTATACACACACATTTTATTGGTTTCCTTGTATATATATGTAGTCACATATATATACAACACAAGTTTTAGTTTTTATGTTTATAAATATGAAATTACATGTTTCATATTGTGATTTGGTTTATCTACTTAGATATGAAACAAATATATTTTCATATACATACTCATAGGTTTCATTTTCTATTGTATTTGTGAAAATATTGTATTCTTAGTTTGTAGACTTTAATATCAGTTTATACATGTTTTACTAAGTCTATAAAAATATTTCACAAAGTTTCAAAAGTTAGTTTATGTCAAAACATCAAAATTCAAGTATCTCATATTTTCATGTTTTGGACTAGTTTGTAAAATGATGATATTTTTCATTTGGGAAGTCCTTTTTCGAAACCAGTCATTGTAGCATGTTTATTATCATGTCTACAATCATTCCCCAAAGTTTTACATTTTTTGGAATTTATTTGATATTTTTAAACAGGGTTTTAAAATCAGCTCTAAAACCAAATTTTTGTAGAATGTCAGTTTTCGGTCGACCGGTACGGTCGACCGGTCAATTGACCATTCATCAGTATTTTTCCAGAGAATCGTCGGTCGACCGGTCCGGTCGACCGAGAGCTCAAATCGGTCGACCGACAGAATTTCCGGTCGACCGACGTTAGTCCAGAAAGTTTTCTTCGTGTTTTTGCTCTCATCGGTCGACCGACGGGATTTTCGGTCAACCGACCATATGACCGTTGGACTTCTAACGGCTATTTCTGAGCTGGTTTTTCTGGGGGCCTTTTGGTCATTTTGTTTGGGTTTTTGCTGAGATTTCTAGTGGGTATATATACCCCATTGCTGATGTCTTTTCAAATTGAAAAAAGAGAGTTTAAAAACAAGTTTAAGAAAGTTTTAATCAAGGGTTTATGTTTGGTTTAAGTGTGTTTATAAGCTTTTAAGCATTTGAGTGTTTTGGTTTTGTGAATCACTTCCACAAGAGCTTGAGGAGATCATCTATTGGTGTTTGAGCATCCAACTCTTCTCCCGGTGAGCTAGAAACCGAGTGTGTAGTGAGGTTTTCGGTGAGCTAGAAACCGAGTGTGTAGTGAGGTTTTCGGTGAGCTAGAA